TTCTTAGTACGCACCAACACCCATGAGAATACAAAGAATTACCCCTAGAACGGGAGCAAGAAACATGATAGATCGTGGTTTCCATCCTATCAGCTACCCTCATCAGCGCAGTTCCTCAACTCGTACATAGTAGATAAACGACGAACAATAGCATAGAGGATACACAAAATAAAAGATGTGAATGTAGAAATCCCAAACGCCAATAAAGTTTTCCTATCACATTAGCACATGGTCCACATCAGAAGTGAAGAGGGGTGACGAGAAACTTACGTATCGAATTGTACTGCGTTTTCCAAGTTGTCAAGAATATCACCATTCCCACTACTCGTCGTAGTCACTGTCACTCCTGAACCGTCCGCCCTTTTGCTCAGATGATCTTCTGTCTTGATATGATCCCAATCCGCAGTGACGGCAGCAAGGACGATGGTGGTGAATAGAAAATAAGCACCGCAAACCACGACGAATATCCAAAATGATAAATTGTCCAACCAAGCGTAAGGTTTGCCATAGTCAGGTGGGAGTACAATACCACGATGAACGTCCGTAGGGGTTTCTCTCGATCCCTCTTTGGTGTCATATTTCTCCTCCATATTCAGTGAGATTTCCAGGGAGACCGGCTCCTCAAGTCAGCAAGTCAGTAGTCAGAGACAGACGGTAAGCGTCGGGAAGTTTTGAAAGAGATGCTAGGTCCGGAGAAGAGGGTGGAAGTTATTTGCTTGTTGTCATTGAACAGTGGATGGCCGAGTCCTTTGTAAATTGACCCCCCACGGGCATGAGGTCGGGTTAGAGAAGATGGAACCCTTTGTATGACCCCGTTTACCTTTCAGTCAGGGTGGATAACTAAGGCGGGTGGATAACTAAGGAGATGACTTTATGAAGCGAGTGGTCGAGGGGGATGAGACTTGTAACAAGGGAGTGGTACACAGTCATCAGCCATTTGTATTGGCATTAGCCTAGAAAACCTAATGCATTAGTAACAAGTAATCATATTTAGTAACACTTGGTAACCCTTAGTAACAGCACTCGGGTAACATTTAGTAACACTTAGTAATAACCAGACCCGGTCAATAGTAGTTCTCGTCGCGTCATATGAGATCTGCCGTCGCTCTGCGGTAGTAGTGCAACTACTACTACTTACTGTTGTCCAGCCGCTGGCCGCTATGTTACTTACTCTGTGGAGGGATAAGGCGGTAGCGACAATGATGATATAGCATGCAGATGGCCCATCACATCACTAGAGGATGTCATGACCAAGTCAGACGTAGCAGCTATCAGCTAGCATTCTTGTTGTCCATCAAGTGATCAGATAACCCGCACTTACACCCTCCGACAAAGTCACCAACTCACATCTCTTCCCTGCTCTCTTTAATCTCTTCTATACTTACCTACCCCGTTCACCCAATTCCCATTCCCTCCATGCAAGGTTTCACTACCTCATCATCCACCCAACGCTCTCACCCTCACCCTCACTCCCACTCCTCTCCCCACCTCACACCAACATTCCATCTCCTTCTCTCTTCTTTCGCCCTCACCGCTTCCAAATCATGGGTCTCCGACACCGGTCAAGGCGGCACCGGATGGCTCGTCTTGACGTATTGGGGATGGAAGATAGGTAGAACTATACGTCTCACACGAAGCAGACGTATCAAGGGTAAAGCTAGGGAAGTTGATAGTCGTAGTTTCAACCCTGTGAGTCATTCATTCCCTCTGTGTAACACGTAAAACTTGAACTGATGTGAAAGTCGCAGATACGATTAGCTTTGGCTCAAGGCTTTGAATCTGTGTTATTCTTCTCTACTTTGACATCTGTGGGTCCTCTCAGGTGAGTCGATATATGTACGAACCGCCAACCGAGCTGAGGACAGAACATTAATCGTCACCGTAGGAGCGACGGCTATCAGACCAATTCCAATATGGAAGTCTTCCGTATGTCACCTTCTCTTTATTTTCGATTTTCGCTGATTTGTTCGTAGGAATGGGCAAGAATACCTCTGTTTCTGGCTACTACCGTGATCATTCTGCAGCCCGTTTTCAAGGAAGACTGTAAGTTTGAGTCTTGTCTCTTGTCTCGAATCAAGTCGAGATGCTGATCTCGAGATATTACTACTTTGACCGTACTCTCTCTTCTCATTACTTCATTAACTTCTCGCTGGATCTCCTCGAAGACCTTGCTTGGGAGAGATATCAACCGTTCGCGAGATGACCCAGAGGGGCAGCTGTCGTCTTTGCTTGCCGGCTCAACGGTAATTCTCCTGACATTTTTACTATCCGTCCTGGTGAGCTGTCTTCGTAAGTTAACGAAGCGAGCTTATATCAAAGAAAATCTTTCCTCAACCTTGGCCGTCACTTGATCCTAACTCACATCAATTTCTCCCATACGCTGCAGCTCTCCTCGCTGCTCGTCAACCTCTACCCATCAGGACCACCGGGGCCACTTCGACCGATTTTGAAAGCTCCCATTCACGAGACACGATAATCCTGCTTTTGGTCACTGCGGCACTGCAGTTTTTCGCCTTTCCTCCGAACCCTTCATCTTCAGATATCTTACTACTTCTCCCTCTCACCCTGATTACTCTCGTATCTCTGCTCTCTACGAAACGTGACGAGTCTCGAAAAGTCAGTGTGGTCACCAACTCCCCTTATTACACATCACCAATTTTAGAATGGAACGATCCAGGGGCTTCACACGTTTCGGATGGCCGTTAATGTTTCTGAGCGTTGACAGAAGAAAAGGGAAACGCTGACTTGACAGTGGTCTTCCACGCAGGAAATTACCACGAACACTTCTTTCTCCCTCTTCTCTATCATACCCCCCACTTGGCGTCCTCATTTACGTACCATACTGAACACCTCATCCTCATCGAAGATATTTTACTTCCTATTGCTCAACCTAGCGTATATGGCCGTTCAAATGGCCTATGGGGTTCTGACCAACTCATTGGGTCTCATCTCGGATGGCAAGTTTCTCTCATCTCTATCCTACCATTATCGTTCTGTGTTAACCAATTGAAGCTGATGTGTAGCTATACACATGTTGTTCGACTGTCTCGGACTAGCAGTGGGATTATGGGCGTCGGTAGCGGCCACATGGAAACCTGACGGATTGTATACATTCGGTTATTCTCGCGTTGAAACTTTGAGCGGGTTTGCGAATGGTGAGAGTTTCACATTGCACTCCACTCTCCCGCTCCTATATGAGCAATCATGTCACCGGTCTTGTTCCGAGCATTGTCAGACATGGCTTACTCGTGAGTTGAAGCTGACAAATCAGGCTGTTTCCTGATTTTGGTCTCCCTATCAATCATTTTCGAAGGTATACAACGAATGTCAGTCTTCCACCCGTCCTTATGTCAGCAATGCTGATGAAACTGACAAACAGCTTCAATCCACCCACTATGGACACCCGTAAATTATTGTTGGTATCAAGCATAGGTCTCGCTATCAACCTCTGGGGTATGTGGGCCACAGGTGGTCATCATCATCATGGCCACGGACATGGCCATGAACATTCTCATGATCATACTCATGGGATTGTCCATATCGACGTGAATGAGAAGAAGGTGGGTGTAATCTTTGTTTCGACCATCTCTTTCCCTAACTTTATCTTTTTCTTCGAAAACTCTCGTGTCATAGATCACATATAGTGGTTCCTTGTGGATTCAGAACATATCCGTAGCTTTGCCCCCTTTCGAAAGAGTGATGTGAGGAGGTGTGGCACATAGTAAGAGGGAGTATTGATAAAAAGGAAGATCACCGAAACGGTCATCAACCTCGAATTCCGATGGTAAGCTATTTCCACATGTCGAACCTGGCACTAATCTTCAGCTGAACGTCGAGAACCACAGCACACATGCAGGTCATCATGTTGGACATGACCATAATGTTCATTCTCATGAGAAACACAATTACGTTCATCAGTCCAATCCATCTACCCATCCAGTGAGTGGGGCAGAGGACTTGTTAAAAGACATGCTCATTCCTGCCAGACTTATGACCCTCAAGAACCCATAATGGCACATAATCACGCTAATTGTAAACACGACAACCACACATATGAACCCAACGGCCATACACGTTATCACGACCACGACAATCACGAAGACGACCACGGCCACGACCACGGCCATGACCACGACAAAGATCACAGTCATGAACATCACGATCATTCGCATTCACACAACATGCGTGGAGTTTTCCTCCATGTTCTCGCTGTGAGTCTTGTTCCAACCTCTCTATTTTCTTGCTGACGTGTAGGATACATTAGGTCAGTATCTGCTCTTTCCTTCTTGTCTTTCTTTCCCTTCTTCTTTCCCCTTCACTTTCCCCCCGCGTCCATTCGCAATGCCGCTCATGATATCCTCTGAAATTATGACCTCCAACCAGAGGTAAAGACCCTGAATGGACGAAAGTCAGTTGTGTAGGCAATGGTCCTCACGAGAGACGTGATGAAGAATGAAAGGGAGAGAACGAAGACGATTGATATCCGTAAGAGACACTCAAAACTAATGTTACAGGAAGTGTAGGCGTTATCATTTCCACCCTTCTGATAAAATTCACCGGATGGACAGGTTGGGATCCTTTAGCTAGTTTATTCATAGCTGCTCTCATAATGGCTTCTGTCATACCTCTTGTGGTGGATTCAGCTAAAGTTTTATGTTTAGATGTGGGAGTTGAGAAAGAAAGTGAGATCCGAGCTGCTTTGAGTGAAGTAAGTTCGTTTTCTTCATATTCCATCTTTTTTCTGTTCACCTCTTACTTCACTCCTCCCGCTTTTCTCAATAAACCTATCCCTCATAATCACCCCTTTCGCTAAACTTTGTCAATACACACAATCAATTGAGTTGATCTTCTACATCATCCATCTACTCACATCATACTTTACTATCTTACAAGATCACCTCAGTTCCTCTCTCATCACAAACTCAGTAAGGAGATCCGATCAAAAGTGTCGACTTGTGTTGTGAAGTACTGTTGTGAAAATGAGATACGGCTTGTATGGTGCGGGAAAATGAGATACGGCGTGAAATTGTGGAAAAGGGAAAATACCGAACTGACCTTTCAAGCTATCATCAATAGAAGGATTACAAACTTACTCCTCACCACGTTTTTGGCCACGTTGCGAAGGTTCTTTAGTCGGTTCTATACATATACGTCTTTCCCCTTCTCCTTCTTCCGTCGATCATACTTCTTCAACTCATATAGTCCGACCGACGATTTATGCAGACATTGATAGAGTGGTGAATCGTGTGGAAAGGTTATTGAAGAGTAAGATAAAAGGTTTAGACGAATTGGTCGTACAGGTGGAAGGAAGTGATGAAAGGGGTTTTTGTACTTGTATGACTGGATGACTGATCAGTATGCATTTGTCATGATTGTCGTATGCCGTGATGTGAATGAAATGCATTGTTATAAGGTCTACAATACCCGTACTCATACTTTACATGATGCGTTTGCCATTGTCCATTTGTATGTTTACAATGTGTTATACCATATTTCAACTGATTACGAAGACTGAGAATGGGAAAGAAATGGAAGAGTAGCAGGGACCGGAGTAATACGAAATGGAATGAAGAGATATGAAAACGGTGCAATGGAGGAAGAAGGGAAAGGTGGGAGTGAGGAGGGAGAGAAAGGAAGTGAGGAGGGGAAGGAAGGAATAGCAAGAGGAGAGAGAGGAAATGACTAATCCCTCAACTTGGCGAGACGTGAATTGAATAAATCCTTGCAATGAAGATGTGTGACTTCTCCTCTAGGAGAATGAATGGCAATAGCACTCGCTCCTAATCTCTTGTGACATTGAGGACATCTATCTTATGAGCTTTTCATACCCCATCATCTTTTCTTGAAATCATTCCGAGTCATAGATCACAAACCGACATATACTCAACCCGAATGGTATGATCACAGCACCAGGAACGAGCAAGTATAACGATAACAGCGCCGAGAATCTCCATGCAAGCTGTAGAAATGAAGTGGTCCAATAACATCGAATCAGGTATCATCACTTATGTGATTCAACATATCAGAAGAAAAGATGAATGAGATTCAACATATCAGAAGAAAAGATGAGAAGAAAAGAGTTGAAAGGGTAGATAAAAGATTGAGGATGAGTTTGAACTTACATTCTTTGATCATTGATCCTCACATGACGAACTTGTAAATTCATCAAATTCCTTTCAACTTCTTCTTTCCTAGCACCTACTAATTGTTTCACCACTCGATGTTCTTCTTTCGCCGCATGTCCGCCTCTCAGAGTTTTGATTAGGAACTCGCTAATTTGTTGCATGGTAAGTAAAGGAGGAAGGAGGTCTAATACTGCTTGAGGCTCCAATCGGGTACCGTGTTTGGCTATGAGGGTTAAAGCTGGGGATATGAGGATGGGATTGGGTGGGGAAGGACGGAGGTATAGATGAAGAAGAGTGAGGTATATTCCGGATGGATCGGGGAATTTGGAATAGACTCGGGAACAGTATCTGACATTAGCATGTCTTGGACATGATTTGCATTTGAGGAAGATGTATTTCGATGTGCCCTGTGGGGAACGCGGAGGAAAGAGCGGGATGGGGGAGAAGAGAAAAGTAATCGGAGGAGTAGGAGGGGTACGGAGGGATTGAGAAGTAGGAGCAGAGTGGGAGAGTGAAGGGAGGGGGAAAGCAGTAAGGGAGAAAGCCAAAACTGACAAATCTGCGGCGGAGTAATCATTCAAATCATACAAATATATCTTCAAAGCATCCTCATGTCTACCCATTCGACCAAGTAAGATGGCCCTCGCTTCTGGCATTTCTACTTTTTAGCCTATTCACCCTCAGATCGAATTCAAATGAACTCACCGTCTGATCCTAATCGATTAAGTAGTCTATAAGCTCTATATTGATTGGAACCAATCAAGAAATCCAATAATTTCTCTTTTATCTCATCTGCTCAATCAGCATCGATCCTACACTCCTACGATTGAAGTATGAGACATACCATCTTTACTCGATTTGACACGTTCTAAATACAATTCGGCAAGTTTGTCATGATACTCCGCACCTTGTTCTTGTAAAGTATGTATGAGATGTTCCAGATAACCTATACAAGCTTCTTTCGAAGTGGTCTCTAGAAACTCCACGACTTGTTTTCTGGGAAGAGATTCTACTTCAGGTTCTTCAGCTATGAAGATCTGAACGTCAATGTTGAGTATATACGCTACGATGAGGGAGTAGGAGGGAAGTAAGAAGAGTCACTTGTAATCCTTCATAAGTATTCTCATTGATGACCCATTTACTATGTTCGAATATCAAGTCTAAGCCCTCTGATCCGAGCTTATGAAGATATCGTACTGTCGGAGGATATCTATCCAAACGATCTTCCTCTTCTTTGGCAAGTCTACTCGTGAGGTTTGATCAAAATGAAGAGAGACTACGCACTCATGTAGTAGGGTCAGAGCTTTGGAATGCATTTTCTTGCCTTGATACAAATCGATGAGATCTCCAAATTTCTATGATCAGAACGGCACTGACGCCTATCCATAATATGATAATGATTGATCATCGCTCCCACCAGCCCTGAACATGATCCGAGTAGGCCATGCGTAAGACAGTGGAGTGCGAGAACTATCCGCCTGAGGAAGAGGGGAAGAGGAGGTGGACTCTCAAAAGAGGGTTCTCGGACGAGGGAGTGGAAGCAATGCTCCATGAGCAGAGGACATGAAAAGGTGAGGAAGGTGTTTACTTACCTTCTGCTGCTTCAACAACTCCTCAACTTCAACCACATCACACCAATTTTCAATCCTACACAAACTTCCTACCAAGATCGGTCTTGCTACCAAGTACACTTTTAACAACGCAGTGTAAATCACCTGCGCCACGCGTAACAATTGCTCGGGCTCCATTTCGGGCATAGGTATCGAAGGCAGTGCGTGTAATTCATCGGCCGAAAGAGACGATAATGGCGGTAAAGAAGATTCTGGAGGTAAGGGGGATGTCAAAAGGTTGATCGCTCCTGTCAGCTTTTGTCGGCGATCGGAGAGGTAATACATTAGTGCTTCGAGTGCTGCACGAGGTGTCGTAGCTGCTCTGTCAGCGCATTGTCTCATCCTGTGATGTCTTCCTCGTTATTTGATTCACCATAAAGCCAATTACCCCAGCAATATGTTGCATTCGATAGTACCAATCATGCAATAACAACAGATATGGAAGGATAACTCCTCAGGACGGGGGACCATAGAGTCAGAGGATCATAATGGAACTCACTGTCATCAACCTTTGCTGGCTCCGCACTCGTCGCGGTGAGATTATCTGCGGCTTTTATCGAATCAAAACTATTCTTTTTCCCTATTGACAGATGCGTCATACTCTTCAACAGTCCCTTTGTCGGATTATCACTCGCGGAAGACTCTGGGTCCAATCGAGCACCTGAGACAGCCCCGAAAAGTTCCATCCATGCTTCTCTAGATACGTGAGACCGACCAGAGATGGTCTCAGCGGGAAAGAGCGAAACAACAAGAGCTGGGTTGACGTCAAATATGAGGAAAGTATCCATGGCTGTTTGAAAATCGCCTTTGGCGAATTGTTGGACTGCTTGGAGAGTCTTGAGATGGGGAAGTCTACGGGACTGTACATGAGTAATCTGTGTTGCCGGGTTTGCTCGGTTCCGCTCGACATCCACCGAAAGAGCAATTCAGCATGTTGGAATTGACCTGGGTGTTCAATGTGTCGGATGACCAGAACAGCGAGAGGCGTTATTGTCATTCTGTAGGAGTGAACAAGGTGGAGGCGATGAAAATGATGAAGAGAAGGGATATCATTAATGTAAAAAGTAAACCCACAGGAGTCATATTATCCTCTCCGACGGCGTCGACCAAACCAATAGCATCCCCTATCTTTCCTTCCCTCACCAGATCATCCACATCTTCCCCCAAATCACCAGCCTGTAAAGCCCACACGCTACTTCCTTCTGATTGGGCAAGTGTCTTATCAGTGGGGGTAGACACAAAGCACAATTTCGTCCCCGAAGCTAAGCTCTCAGCTGGACTTCGTCCAGTTGGTGTGATCAGAGTTGAGGAGGATACCGACATCGATCCAGTGGTTGGGGCAGGTATGGGTACCGTATGTCGGAGGGAGAGTGTGGGGCCGAGATGGACTTGTAACGCTGTACTTGGTGGTCCGGCCGTGGTCGGCGATGTCACCACGGAGTATATGTAGGGATTTGAGAACTCTGAGCGATGAGCCAATACATGAACTAATGAGGATCATCAAGGGACCGAGAGCTTACCCAGAAGATCAGGCATGGATGGAAAGCGTAAAGATTCTCCCCTAGTGTAGTTTCCTTCGGAAGAGTAGAATACACCTAATTCTGACACGTCAACTGTTCCGGTCCTCCACGACTTATGAAGGCAGATGTGACTTACCATCTCGGGCCAGTAACGCCTCGCCCTCGGCCGTTCGTGTCCCAAGAGGGATAGCAGCCTTACTTCCCAATCCCACATATCCACCTAGACCAGTCAAAGAGCTCATCCCTCCGAGTCCCAAACCAGTACCTTCACCCGTAGAAAGATAAGTAGAGCCCGTTTGGGTGGAGTCGGCAGATGTAGTAGCTGGGGGGACAGGAGAGGTGGTGAGATCTGTAGTGGTAAGATGGGGTGTGGACGAGATGTTGATATGAAGCAGAACTGAGTTTTGAGGGGAATACAAGAGGTGAACCGTTCCTGGAGGAAATGATGGGTTCGAGAAAGGGATGACGATTTGTCGAGGTGAATGTGGGAGAGCAAGTTCCTGCGTCTCAGAAATGGTTTTGTTTTGTCCGCTTTCATCCAATATAGCCACTGGATTCAATAATGGTATAGAGGAATCGAAGCTGATAGAAGGATGTCTTGAAAGGTGAAAAAAAAATTGTACTCACCCAACCTTCCTTGTACCCTCGTCCAAATCCATAAACCACCACCTTCTTCCTACATCCCACGATCAAAACATCCCCGACGCTCTTATCTTCTTTTCCAACATCCTCACTACGTACACTTTTTAGACTTTTGGTTTTGTTGATAGAAGCATACGAGGTGATGGAGAAGCAATGTGCCGATCTCGCTTGAGCCAAGACGGAGGAAGAACCTTTCTCTAGATTTGGTAGAGAGTAAAGAGTGATCACGGATTCTAGACATGTCAGGATATCATGTTGATCGCTGTATGGATGAGAGCTACTGACCTGACAGTACGGCAAGCTGTTGACCATATGGGAGAACACCCAGCTGGTCAATGGATCGTTTTGATAATTGATGAGTGGTCAAAAGTTGAAGTCGAGGGACACTGGGTCCTGCTTCTCCATCTGATGTGACGGCGTCGAGGGTGTACGTACGGATGGTACCATTCGCACAACCTACGTAGAGCTTGTCGTCTGAGTGGTCAGCTGAGAGTCAGGCAGAAGGAGGGAACGCAGGACGGAAGGAAGAAAAGCGTCGTTGAAATGAGATATGGACAGAGGGTTGTTCGGGACGGGGGCAGAGAGCAGGAACGGTCATCGCCCACCATGCTGGCATAGAGAGGTGATACGAAGGGTCGAAGAGGGTAGCAGAGGGAACAAGGAGAACGTCATGAGAGCGATGAACGACGTGCAAGGTTGTGATGGAGAAGTAAAAGCAAAGTGATTACATGTACAAGAGAGAAGAAAGAGAGTGGTGTTGGCGTGTGGTCATCTCCTTCATCTCTTCATCTCTCTTGCATCCCTTGTGCATTCCCTAATCTACATCAGGTTTATCACAACCAGCTAGATTACTACCTGGCCCATGCTCCATGGTCCATGCTCCCTTTACACACCCTTGGCCATCAGATCACTCCCGCTCAAGATCATGAAGTGAGTCCAGTTCCACTACTGGACTTGCAGCTTGGTTCCGCTTCTCACGTAAAGCAAATGTCCTCCTGTGTATGCTCCAGGCTTCCCAACCTCGATCTATTTCTCTTTGCTTATTTTCAGCCCACTCTGCCTGCGCTCTGGCCTGTGCATCAGGGTCATGGCTGAGCTGTGATATTATCTTGGCTACAACATCATCCAGCTGTGTATTGACCCAATAACGGACTTGGAGGACTTCACTCTTGTACCCCCCAAGTAGACCAGTTCTTTTGAGCTCTGCTCTTATCGGCCTGCTATAAGCTGAAACAAAATCATCATGGTCATTTTCCTGTCTGTTTGTCGTAAGCCATTCTTCCCAGTACCTTTGGTGACTCTGGTGCAGAGCCGTTGACCATTCTTGCAGTACGCTCACACATTGGGCCCTCACTACTTCTGAGTTAGAGCATGCCAAGTATTTACTCTTGAAGGAAGAGATTGCTTCATCAAGCTCTCTGGTTGTGCGGGGGACGTACTTGATTTTCACATGGGTGGTGGGTAAGATCTTGCTAGCCAAAAGGCTGATGTAGTGCGGCAACTGAAGCGGACTGATTGATACCTGTCCATTATCGCTTATGCTAATCCTCAATCCTTCGGCCAGGTCTGTCTTAATAGGGGTGCTCAGTTCTATAATGGCTAGTCGCGACATTATCACAGATAAGTGAACACCTGTGATAACGAGCCATTTTTATGTCATAAATGCCACGTGTGAGGTAGAAAATGCCACGTGTAACCCCTCCTTCGCGTCCTCCCCCATGTCATCTCATGCAGGTTTATGTATATGTATCTCGGCCATTGCATTTCTCAACTATCTACTAAGCAAAACCCCTCGGATTTCGTGTCATGCCTTCCAAAACCCCTCGAGCTCACCTCCTGCACGATTTAGAAGATGCCGCATTGCTTCTGTTTCCTCTGCTGGACGATCATACCTCAAGGGCCTGTTTGGAAGACATAATTCAAGCACATCAACAAATCTCAGCAAATCGTTACTTAGATCGATACCCGACTGTCTCTAACAATCTTCCCCGACCCTCTTTCTACCACAGTGACATTCTCCTCTTCGCAGAACGAGGCATTCGTCATAAACAAGCATTTCGCATGTCCCCTAGCCATCTTGATGACATCGTCGATTTTTTCAAGGATGATCCTGTCTTTTTTTCAAGAGGAAACAAGCCTCAGGCCCCACCAAAGTATCAGATAGGGTTACTGGTCTACCGAATGGCTCATGGACATGACTGCAGGACATTAGATCGCGAGTTCGGGGTCTCAAGCGAGTTTTCCTTCCAATTGCTCTGTCCATTTTGCTAATTAGTTAGCCGGCACTGTATTCAAGTGGTGTGACCGGGCCCTCATTGCTATACTGAAAAAACGATCTTACTTCATCTCCTGGCCGTCCCCCACCGAAAGAATTGAAATCAAAGCTCGATTTCTCTCTGAATACTCAATTCCTCACTGCGTAGGCCTCATCGACGGCTATCATGTGAACCTCTCAACTGCTCCTGCTAGAGATGATGCAGGGGCTTATCATAGCCGCAAGGAGAGGTATGGCTTCAATGTCATGGCTATCGTCGATCATACAAAGCGTTTTCGATATATTCATTACGGCTATCCCGCTTCCAGCAGCGATCAACGAGTTCAGCGAGCTATCGAACCCCTTAACACGCCCTCTCAGTATTTCAGCAACCAGGAGTACCTCCTGGCTGATTCTGGCTTTACAGCATCGTCTGTCGTCGTACCAATGTTTAAAAAGAGTGCTGGCCAAGCGGTTCTTCGAGGTAAAACCGCGTATTTCAACTCTCGAGCCTCTGTCATGAGGGTAGGGGTCGAACATTCAATAGGTGTGTTAAAGGCTCGATGGACGATACTTCGATCAATGTCTATGAGACTTCGAACTAAAAGAGACGAAGCTATGGCTCACGCAATCATTGTAGCCTGTACAATTCTCCACAACATCCTCATAAACACCGACGAATATTACACCGAAGAAAATACTGGAAATTTACCAATTGAACCACTTCGAGATGACCTGCCTGCAGAGGAGGTAGCAGAGGACGATTTCTTAGGTGCTGGTCGTCTCAGGCCACACATGAGAAGACGTCATGAGTTGGTGGAGCAAATGTTAGCATTGGAGACAGAGGAAATCGACATAGACAACTTCATTTTATCATGAAAAAAGGTGAGTGGTTTCAACTACCTATCACTCTCCGACCAATTGCTCCACTCATCATATTCGGTGTGAACGTCTCCTTCCCCTTCTTCTCTGTCCCTGTGAGCTCTATCATACCTCTCCTCTGCATCTGCGATAGCCTGAACCCAGGAAACACGAAGTTCTACCGGTAGTCCTTGCTCTGCAGTGAGACGAGCTTGAGCCTCCTTCGATGTTATGACCAACCTCTCATTTTTAGCCCTTTCCTTCCTCTGTCTCTTCGAATCTTCTCTTTCTTCCTCTTGGATAGCTAGCTTACGCTTCTCTAGGCCTATCTCCTCCCTTCTGCTCGCAGCAATCCCCTCAAACAACCCCGCAATACCTCCAGCATTGTTTTTTCCTTCCCCCCTCCTGGACGATGTGTAAAGGCCTGTAAATCAGCTATACCCTGACCTTAGTGGCTATGCAGTCCATGTCACCGTGCCTGACGTACCTGCAGCTCGCTTGGTCAGCCTATGATCACTAAAACTGCGTTCCCTAGTCGCAGGACGTGTATTTTCGCTCTGAGTCGATGTATCTTCAGTTTGAGACTCTTGCTGGCCTAGGAAGTCATTCAATGACATCTGAGATGGTGATGGAGGCCTAGGAGAGTGTGGAGATCTCTCAGGAGAAGGAGAGGGGTGGTGAGAACCCCTCATAATCGTCTCGAGTGTGACATTCGAATTTCCGGTGGTACCTGTGCGAAGGGATTCTGTCCCGCCGTCTCTTTCGGCAAATATGGGGTCCACAGAGTCATATTCAGGACACTTCTTCAATACAGTGGCTGCAGATCAGCTAAGGAAGCATAGGAGTGATGAACAGCCAGGAGACAGATGATACACAGGTCACAGGAGGTATTCGGGGAGAAGGGGAGAAGGGAGAGACGGGGACTCACCTTTAACCGTCTGTTCAGCTTGATTTATCTTCTCTGGATCCTCACTACCATCCACCATACTCTCGAATAAACCCTTCCCTGTGTGATTTAGCCAGTCACGGGCCTCTCGCCACCTTCTTAAGAGTTCACGAATCTAGAAGACATC